TTAACACAACCTGCTATCTGACTACATAGTCTTCACACTGATGACTTTTAAGCCTTCAAGGAAACAATAAAACCCATTTCCAGAAAATTGTGGTTAGAGAGTGGCTTTACAAAAAATTCTGGAAATGGACTACTTACTTTAGGTAAAACATGAAATTATACAGGTTTAAGGGCTTGAATTATGGCCTAAGACACTCCTCTCAAATTACTTTAGAGGGAGATTCTCTGATGAGCATCTCCTTAATTCCAGTAGGTTTCAGTACTCTACCTAACAAGGTTCCATAAGAGCATATGGCAGTGACCTCAACAGCAGTTCAGATGGTTCAGCGTGGCAAGAAGAAATTGGGAATTGGAGGCAGCAGAACTAGTGGTGGAAAAATCCTTGTAAGAGCTTTTGAAGGCAAGAGAGGTGGGTATCAATTCACCTTTGATAGGAATGTATAGCACTGTTACAGATCTAATGAAAGCATCAATTACTTAGAGAGAGAACAGACCAACAAACCCAATTACCTCTGCAGGAGCGGGATGGAATTGAGGTTGCCCCAAGTTACCATCTTTTCCACCCAGCAATGCAGGCTTCTATCAGCACTAATGTCTGACCATCTGAAGAATATGATCTCTTCTGATACCCATCTGGAATAGGAGATGAAGGAAAGCTGCCTTTGGACGCAAGATGATCACCTTATCTTAGGCTATCCAGTAGCAGTCGTGCCTCAGAAGGTAAATCAAGAACATTAAGCCCAGCTATTGAAAGGGGTTTGTTCAGGCAGCAGCTCCACCGATGACATTGGCAATGTCTGGGTTGGGCTTCCTCAGCAGCCTGGGAATGAGGAACTGATCCCAGCATGGAACAGAGCCAGGGGCCAGCGAGTAAAGCAAGCTCCTGCCAATGCTGCTGTGTTCTGAAGGGGAATTCAAGGCAGTACAATCATAGGAAAAAAGACATACTGCAAGCTAGTGTGAAGTGTTGCACAGTCTCTCACTTCTTCCTTGAACCTCCCCAGCTACCTCCCCTTTAAATCAGGGCTTTGCCTTTTGTATTTCAGGTTGAAGGCAAAAGAAGAGTTGAAGATCGCAAGGAATGTCCTTTCTAACTGCTACAGTGGCTTTCCCTACATAAACCAGGCATATTGTTCAACATCTGAAGGACCCCAAGGGATCAAAAGGCAGGAACCCATATTACCTCTGACAATCCATGAATGAAATAATTACAGGGTTTGTGTGTAAACAGCTGCACTTGGACCTCTTTTACAGCAATGTCAAGTTTTTGAAAGGACTTCCTAAAACTGAACTTGCAGTCAAGGTAATAGCATTCAGGAATGTTTTCTAAGTAATGACTTTGAATTCCCTGCAAATTAAGAATGGAAAGATTTACTGCGTTTCCAATTTAAACTTACATTTTTGCAAATAGTTACTTACAAGTTTCGTTCTTGTAAATTCCATATTCCAAAATTCATCTTGTGGATGTTTGGAGTAAATTAAACATGCCACCACCCAGAAATAAAGCTTGAGTGCTCCACCTGAGTTTGCTTTGTATAAATCCCCTTTTTTTCTGCATCAAGATGATTTTTTTTTAATTAGTTGACAGGCTGGCAAACATACAGGATACCCTGTCCAGTGCCACTGAGCAACACAACCACACCTTCCTCTGAAGATGCAGAACTGACCCGTAGGTGTCTCGTTCCCCAGGGGTCAGTGATGCAGCAGCACTGATTAGTTAACTGATGGCTACTGAGCACAGGAACAGCCAGGCCATGCTGGTCCCTCCAGCCCCACAGCACTCAGCACTGCTCATTAGCTGATGGTTGGGTAGTTAATTGGTCAGTTAACTGCTGGGTAGTTAACTGCTGGTCAGTTAACTGATGGCTATTGAGCACTCAGGACCAGTCAGGTGCTGTTCCCTCCAGCCCCACAGCACTCCCATCCCTCACTGGAGCAGCCACAGCAGCCCTTTGCCTCTTCCCTCAGCCAGCTGGAAATCAGGGCATTAAACAAGTGCCTCCAAAGCAGAGGGATCCGTCATGATCCAGTGCAGATACCAGTTATAATGGGGGCACTTAACCTGTCAGAGCTGAGGGTGATGCGTTTCAGAGTGAGGATCATCATGTTTAGCTGCCCATAAGCACTCAGTGACAGAAGTTAAATGGTAACATGAATTAATTCCTTCATCATGTGGATATATGTGGCCATTACAAGGATTATTCTGAAAAAAAAACAGAGGGTTGTTCTCAAACTTATTTTCCTCCTTCACCGTGAAGCCTATTTAATTTCTTTTAAAATTATAACTCCATCATTTCATGTGTTCAGATCAGACTAATTTTTTTATCACTGCAAGCAATGCAGATTCTTTAAAAACAATAATTTCTGGATTTATTTTTTGTAACATTATATGCAGGTTTACAACTGACACATCCAGTATTTTTTACGCATAAACTTGGTGGTATGAGGGCATCAGACAATTCCCTTGAAATAAAGAAAATTCTGCCAGCAGTAATCTTGCTGAGACTTTTTTAATCATGTCATACTCCTGCCTCTCAGGTCCTAATGAAGAGGGGAAGGGAATTTGTCAAAAGCATCAGTTCAGCTGAAGCTCCCATTTAAATGGGACCACACGAGGGATGGATTGGAGAAACATCATTAAAGCCTCCTTGAATCTCATCTCCTGCTACCCAATTAACTTTTGTCAAGGCCCCTCATTTCAGCTAAAAAAATAAATTGTCAGAATAAACATAAAATACATCTGCTCTATAGTACAGTCTTACTGTATCATGAAAAAGAAAAATGATGTTGGGTTACACTGATACTATTTTTACTACTGTTATACTTTAAACTCTGCTCTGAACACGAGACATTCTGCTCTGAAACATGCAGAGCTGTTTTTTATCAGGAACTCTGTTGAAAGATAAAATAACCCACAGTATTTGGATTTATAAGCACTAATATACAGACTGAAATAAGGGGCAGAAAAATCATTTCCATTCAAATTATATTTGCTATAATGCTAAGTTCTGTTCTACAAGCCACTACAATATGCAAAAAAGGATGTGTATCAACTGTGAAAGGAAATCAGCATTGGAGGGGATGTAAGAAATATTTAATTATATTAAATTGGTTTGAATTTCAGAGTCCTAGATCTATAAAACCTTATGTTCTATGCAATTTAATTGTAAATCACAGAATCACAGAATAGTTCGTGTTGGATCTCTGGAGATCATCTAGTCCAAACCCCAGCTACTGTATCATTGCTACAGACTAAGGGATCCTGCTAGGATTAATCAATATAGTGTATTCTTTTCAAATAACACTATAAAAATAAAAATATATAAGAATTATTGTAAAATAATTTTGAATAATTAATTTTATTGTTAAACTAAAGGGAAAATAAGGATTACAGACAGATCTTTTATGCCACGGTCACTACAACTGTGATTATTGGAGAGCATATTTTCCCTACAGAAAAATTAAGCCCCATTTAAAAACATAACTGTTTTTAATTTGGAGGTGCACTGAATTAATTCTGTAATGACACTGAAAAAAAAAATTTTTTTTCAGACATTCCTCAGGGAACATATGAACATATATTGTTATGTGGGTTGCCATAAGTTCTCATTAATTTAGGCAAGGAGGAGCAGGTAGGCTCCTGAGGTGTCTTCCTCTCTCCATTGACCACAAAAAGTGCCTCAGTGACAACCTTTGATTAAGTGCTGCCTTTTTATGGCTAAGGACAGGTGAACCTGACCCCGAGTGTCTGAACCAAATCCAGCCAGTTTGGAAAGGTAACTGCAGCAGTTAAGACCCAACTTCAAAGCAGTTGGCATTCTCCTGAAACCTGTGTAATGTTTCTGCTTTTTTCATTCTGCCCATCCACAAATCAACAGTTATAATAAATTTTAAAACATTTTAATAAACATTTCCATGGCTGCGTGGTTTTTATTACGTAGAATCAAAGCCATTTCACCAATAGAAAAGTTCAGCTATATCATAATTGCCATGGCCATAGATTCCTTTTCAACAAACAGGCCTTTGCCTTGTGTGAATCACTGGCGTGGTGTACTTGCAATCTGCAACAAGCAGCCACACCTGCTCCTGATTTAGATAAAAGAAGCCCTGGCCCAGCGTGGACGGCGCTGAGCAACAGGGACCTCACGTGATGGCCCTGAGCAGACAGAGCTGCACAGTCCACACAGACAGGTATAAATCAGAGACAGGCTGGGGCTGAACACTGTCTCAGAGTGCACACAGCCTCAGACATCAGCCCCAGCTCCCCGGGCCCCACAGTCTCTGCACTTCTCCACATATTTGGCCTCACAATCCATACTCAGTTCCCAGAAATTGAAGCAGTGGCTGCAAGAACTTATGACGTCGATACAGCTTCAGGATTTGAGATATATTCTCGTGCACAGCAGTGAAAAGCACTTCTGAACAAATCTCTTCTATGTGATTTACCCGTTTCTCATTCTCTAATTTCTAGACAAATTATTTTTACTTCATTTTGGATTAACCACTGCCAGGCAGTATTAGAAGATTTATACAAGCACTTGGTCTATGAGTCAGTAAAACTTCACAAATTCAGGCATAACCATAAAGACTTAGAATAAAACAGACTAAACCTTGGAATTTTTAACTCAGATATGTCACATCTTCTACAGAAATGTTTGTGTTGAATTCTGACCAGAAGGTCTGGTGCCATGCCTGACAGAGGAGAACCATGCTGAAACCTCAGCCTGACTGCTACAATTGGGCTAAGGATGTGACAGTCAGAAGGCAGGTTCCATAATTCACCTTCTCCCTGTCTCAGCCATAGCATAACATGAGATTAAAGTCTGAGAGTTAAGGGGTATCTATTTGGTTCAGGGAAAACAGCAAGAATTCACTTTGTCACCTCCTAGTAAAGGACACACCTGAGTTTTGCCAGTTCATTCCAACATGACTCCCTCTGTGCAGGAAGGGTGAACAGACCAGATAACTAATCAGAAGGAACATAGGACAAGCATTCCTTACCTGTCAGGGCCATGCCTCGGGCAGCTCAAGAAATCACAGTGTCCGTATGGAATGTTTTTGCACATGATATGTTCATCTAATTAACAAAGGGAGAAAGTTCTTGTTTGTCACTGAAACCAGCTCTGTAAGACAAAAATGAAATTACACAGAATATTGTTGTTAGGGAGTTTGCTCTGTTTAAAAGCAACTTTCAAAGTCAAGTTTCAGAGAAAAGCCTGCCCTTCATTACTTCCAGATGCCCCCATTTGCTCTCAGGCTGCTGCTGCCAGTGTTTCTGTCTCCGCTTTCCAGCGGGCTCTCAATTCCTGCAAAAATGCCCCTGAGAGCATTTCATTCCATGTGTTAGGTTCTCCTAATACTTCCTCAGAAATATCCAATACACTAATACGTTTTTCAGTCCCCAGACAGTTGCATTTCCATTATCATACATCTATGTTGTCCCTTCTCAGTCATCCATTCGTGGTACTCACTCAGAATTCACCCTGCTGGTAGTTGACAGCTGCATCTCCTGTGTCTGGGCCAGCACAAAGATTCTGGGAGCACTGCACATAAGAATCTCCTTTACTCACACTTTGATTATTTCTGCCTCTTGTCTGGGTCCAATAGGTTCATCCCACTTGACCCTCTTTTGCTCTGGGTAATTTGGGATTTTGGTCTGTCCTTCTAAGGGCACTGGCTCTTATTTTGAAAATAATTTTTTTTCATGTCTGAGATTTTTGTATTTTATAACATTTTTTTCTATCCTTTTTCTTCACTTTTCTTCTATAGATTTTTTTTTCTTTCTGTTCTTGAATTTAATCTAAATACAGTTCTTTCAATGTAGCTCTCTGTACTTCTTTCTCAATTAGCTCATAATAAAAATAAAGAAAACAAATAATAAAAAAATATCAGGAAGTCCTAATATACAACCTCTAATGTCAGTCCAGCATGTTGCCTGACTGTGGGTAAATGACACAACGAGCAGCATCATCTGATTAAAGTCTGAGCTCACAGAGCTTCATTTACCACATGGGGCTAATACAGCACTGGCTGCCCAACTGAGTTTTCTTTAAGAACCTTTTCACTGAAGAAGTGTGAAGCAGCACATGTGAGGACAGAGGATTATATTCCCACATGAAGCAAGGACTGTAAAAATATTTAGGAACTAATCATCTCATGCATACCTGTGGATAGCAACTTCTCTCCCACATGCATGTGTGCTTGTATGTTGGAATGCTTCTTTTTAAGTGACCACATAAACACATTTAAACTACACTCATTCTTTCTTACTTTTTTTTCCTGGGCAGTACAACATCTGACTTACAGATTTTTCTGGCATACAAAGGACCACCAGAAACTCAACCATTCTTTGTAAATGTGGCCCACCTGTGGGGTTTGGTTTGTATTTGGTTATAATACTTGTGATTTTAGTCTAACTGCTGAGATAGTACATCTAATATTTTCCTGCTTAGAATTCCAGATTCTATTGATTATTTTGGGGAAGATAAAAGGTAAAGCCACATTTGGGTTCTCATTCTTTTCCTTTCAGCAATATTTTGCATGCTAGCAAGTCCAGTGAGCTCTGTGCCACTTGTGAAGATCCAATCTGTTAAGTACTCATCACTCCCTCAGTCAACCAGCACCCAAATTACCTGTTCTCTGTCATTTCCTCCTACCTTATAAGCACTGACATATCCTAAGTCTTTTCAAACTTAGAAGTGACTGTCTAGGGAAAAGAATAATTTCTGGTGTCGTTTCAGCTACTTGCCAACTAAATCTTAAGAGGCTCCTCTACCACTGGTGATAAGATAAACAATGCAACCTTGGAAACATTTTTGTCAAGACAGTCTTGATGGTTAGTTCATGAATCCTTAAGATCCAAATGATTCTGATAAGCTTTTTCAACATTTATTACTATTTCAGGCTTCTGTTACAAGTGGGACATCCTAGTTTGTTATTCTGTCTTTTTATCTCTCACATGAATAAATTACAGGGTTCTGCTTCTTATCACAGAAAACATTCCACTGATCATCTGGGGAACTCAAAATGTTTTTTTCAGTCTATAAATTATTCTTATAGAAACTCTCATAACTAGCAAGACAGTTGGTTTTGTTTGGGGTTTTGTGTGTGCCTTTTTTGACAGCATTTGTCTAAAACAATCACATGTGGTCTATCAAATTTTCGTTTTGTCATTAGAACTGTCAGTCTTTCATAAAACATAATTTTAAACACATATGCACACACGCAATAAACCCTTTGCAGTGTCTTGGCCAATGAGTGTGAATGACAAACATACCTGGCTGCTCTCCCATGGTGTTTTCTTAGTGTTCACCGGGAGAAAAAGTGATTTCATGGTAGAAGGTTGGAAAATGACCTCTTGTAATGATGAAATTTGCATAAATAAATGCTGATTGCACAAAGCGAACGATGTGCAGTGAGTATCACCACAATAAGTTGTCTCCCACTGACACAGAGTCTAAGTCAGAAACACACAATTATGCAAATCAAACTAATGCCAGTTCCTCATTACTGTCGGTGGAGGCAAACACGTATCCTCCACAGACAGCCTGATGCTGGGACACGAGCCAAAATGTTTGGGTTTGCTGACATAGCAACTGAGTCAACAAAACTAGGATATAATAGTAATACATCAGAGGAATCCATATCAGGGCAGACCTGAAACCTAATGGTCTGTGAATGTGTTGTGTGCAGAGAGCCTTTCACTGTATTGACCCACAGTGCTGCTTCCACTGCTGCCCATTTTACACAAATAGATTACAGAAGCAATTGCTTTCTGGAGCTGAAATATCTGCAAAACAGTCTATTAGCTTTCCTCACAGCAGATGAGATGACATTTATAAATACTTAAATAATGTCATATATCCCACGTTTAAAAACTTCCCAGAATAATTCACAGGCTGCTTGTGGTTTCTTGATCTAATGTTTATGTGAAGTCTCATTATGACACCACTGGGATTTTCAAACAATGCCACTTTTCTTGTGCCATCTTAAAAACATTCAGACAAAGATATTCTGTTTTTCTTTACAAAAAAATAAATGCAGCAGCAATTACCATTAATCTGAGGGACTGAATATAAGAAGCTGATAGCTGCACTCAGTGATGCTAACCTCGTGAAGGTGTACGGGCCTGGGACTGTGACTCACTGCAGAAGGGTGCAATCCCAAGGACAGCACAGCGATAAGTGAAAATGTATAAACATCCAGTTCCTCAGCCTTTCTTCAGCTGTGAGGCCACAAACAGTATGATGGAGTTAATCTGAAAACATAGGGGGGAAAGTCCAAGTTTATAATTGGTGACAAACTTGTGAAAAATGGAAACTTGGTTCGATGAGGGCCAATGTTATACATATTAGCAACAGAATTTTATCACAGTAGGTGTGTATCTGTGTTCCCTGTCAATCATCTTCTAACTGGTGCCAATTTCAAGAAATTGCCAGAGAATTTCCAAGAGATTTCCTAAATATTTCATGAAACTAGGTTGCTAAGCAAGGAAAAGTAGTTCTGTGAAGGAATCAATATTAAAGAAAACCTTCGTATAAATCCTGATTTTAGGAAAAGCTTCAAAATTGGTCCTATACTTTCCTGAGCCTGAAGAGAAGCCCAAAGCTCTCGGAGAGCAGATTCCATGGGCTGTGCTCTGGGGGCACCAGCACTCTGTCCCTGGGGGCTCACACACCCACTGTCCTGTCCAGCTCAGGTGCCCCCGGGGGATCCCTTCATGCTGCTGGGCAGCTTCAGAGCACAGGTTTTATTATGGCAATTCCCACCTGCTCTCAGAAGTTCTGAAGCCTCCCCACAGAATCCATACTTCTCTTCTTTATTTCCATGCTGTCAGTTTAACACTGTCAAGTTTCACCCCGGCTTATACTAAAGTTTATAACAGAGCAGGCATCCTGCAATTTTCTCTGTTAGGGCATGGGCATGTCAGCACTCCTACCCACTGCCTCCTTCTCACAGCAACTTCTGCTCTCACTCTCCAAACCTGTTTTCCTCAATTCAAAGATGTTGAATGGCCAAGAGGATTTTAAAATAAAGATGTTCAGGCATGGACTGGCTGGAGAGAAACTAAAAGGAAACTTGGCTTTACTTAACAGGAAGGCAGCATTTATGAGGCTTCTGGCAGATGGCACATCCCCCCTTCTATCCCCCCAAAAATGCTTTCTGACATCTCAAGCTTGTAACAGACCTGTACAGCTAACTGACCTTTATCTTGCTCGTGTCATATTGATCTATCAGTGAATCCATAATAAAAGATAGCAGTCTGAAACAGTAAAAAGCAACAGCCCATGAGATGGATGGCTGCAACTCCAGTGGAGTTTCATTGGGACACTTAGTGCAAAGAACTGTGCACTCATGCCAGGCAGGGCATAAGTACCCCCTTCAAAGCTCACTGCTGCAAACACCCGTACACAGCTGACCTGCCTTCAGAATATATGTTTCTGCATTGATTTTCATAGCTTCAGAACAACGGGAAAATCCAAGTGAAAGTTTCTTTGCAGAAGAGTAAAGGTAATTTACGTTCTTCTTTTGATTCCATCTCTGTATTTTGCTTTATGGTTCACAGTACAAGTGCCTATTTTAAAAATTCATTTGTGACTCAGAAAGAAAGCACAGAGTTGAAGAACTTTGGGAGTGCAAGAAATGAGCCACAAAATGAAATGAAACAAAACAAAAATGCATTAGGATTTAGTGGTAAGTCATTACACCAGCAAGTTTGTATTTTAAACACAGACACACTGGCTGTTCTGGTAGCTTATAATACTATAAATCAGCAGCAATATGAAGAGTAAAATACATTGTGAAGATCCTCTTATTACAACATTGGCTTCTTATGGTCTCTGTTCCTAGTAATCAACGAGCTCCTGAAGCCTACCTAAAAAACTTTTGCCCTGTATAATAAACCCAAGATTTTAAGATTCTTCATGTTTATGGCCAAGGGGCTTCCCTAAGTGATATAAATGCTAACACACTTCTCCTGCAGCATTATGCTTCCAGGACCATATGTCGAGTTTGAACACGTAATTTTCCTGCTCTCTTTAAAAATGGAAATTTTTGGTTTGGGTTGTTTTTTTTTTTAATAAAAAGATAAGACAATCTGTGGATGTCACTAGCCAG